TATTATTAATAAAAGGGAGGAAAGGAGCGGAAAGTAATGGTTTTAATAAGTATTTATAATTATAAGAAGGGCCCTATAGATAAGTCTTTACCGCTTATAAATAATTTTTCATTGCCTTTTAATATAATGAATAGAATTTAAAAAAAGAGTAAAAAGGGGGTAATGTAATAAATATAATTTATTAAGGTAAGGGTTTTAGGTTTTAGCTTAAAACCTAGGGTTTCCGGCATTTTATTACTGGAATTTAGGTAATTTAGCTTTTATACCTTTTCTTTCTCTTTCTTTATTTAACTAGGCTTAGCTATGGTAATGCTTAGCGTTTGCAATATACAAACCCGTTATAATAAGGTTTTTAATATAATGTCTTTTAATATTATATTATATATTAATTTGTAAATAAATATTTTAAAGAAATAAAAATTTTATTTAATGTTATTAAAGAAATATTTACTTTAAAGTAAATATTAAGGTTCCTATATAAGATATTAAAGATTCTTAATATTTTAAGCATAGTACTTTTAAGAATTATTTTAAAAATAATGTAATCATAGTAAACTTTTTTAAATATATATTTGAAAATCTTCCTTTAAAATCCTATATTTTGAGGCTAGGGTTAGGGTTATGGGATTTAATTTGGATTTATTATAGAAGGTTGAAAAGTGTGAGTTTGTGTGGGAAAGGCGGCCGGAATCGGGGGGCGGCTGTTGAACAAAAGCAACGCCGCTAATGCGGCATAATTACACACACCTATACTTCCACAGCGGCCGGAATCTGGGCCGGGGACGTTAAGTATGCTGAGTTAGGTGCTGCCTGGGGAACTGTGCGGCAGTTTAGGAAATACTCTTGGTCATACCTGAAAAAATGCCAAGAAATCACAATTGCTGCGCATTGATGAGTTATTGAGCGAGTTGATAGTGATCTATCTGTAAATCCACAGCTAGAGTCACGATCGCTAGCTCTACAATGGGGACAATCGAAGCTCAGGGGCTAGCAGGAAAATGGTACAAGTATCAACGTCACAGAAATGTATCGTGCGTTTCTGGATCACTGAGCCTCACCTATTGAACTAATTTTCGGAGTCCGTTCAGTGCCCGAGAAGGCTGATGACTCTGCCCGGGCCGTGTCGGGAAAGGTATGGACATGTTGGGCATTTGCTGTGCCGCTGACCTTGGTATCGTTCCTGTGGCATTGCTGGCAGGCACACTTGAGACATTTGTGATGCAATCGAGGGGGTGATGCAATCGAGGGGGTGATGCAATCGAGGGGCTGTGCATGTAAAACTGTCTGACTTCGCCCTGTTTGTGCCTCGCTGGCTGTGCACAGTCTGAAAACATTGCTTTTTGAAGAAGTCATGCAGATGCCAACCAATTAACAATATAAGTTGCTGGGTGAATTCAAGGTTGTACAGTCAGAGGTATCAGCGCTTATGAGACAGTACAGGGTATGTTGTTCGAAAATAAGATTGCTACACAGCAGGATGTTTCCTGCAGGTCGTTGCCCAAGCCTTTCTAGGATGGTGATCATCTTGTTCTGATGTCGCCAATGGATTCTTTTGGCTGGAAACACTGCTACTTTTGCCCGAGCTGACCTATTTCTTGCCCGAATGTAGTATAAAAGTCCACGATCCTTCCAAGGTTGCATTGCATTGCCACAACTTCCGCGCAAAATTCTGCAAACATCCCCTCGAGCGTAAATTTCATTTCTCGTTAGAGGCATTCGAATCCGTCCAGTTACCTGGTGTGGCGATCTGAAATGGCGACTCAAATTGCACGAGAGCCGATGCTTGAAACAATCAGAACATTACCGCAGCAGGGATCGGAATCACCACACCCCAAGGCGTATGCAAAATGGCATCCCCTGACCAGGCTTTGGACCGAGACAATCACGGAATTTCGAAGCGAAATGGGCTCTACAAAATGGGGGAACACCGCATCGATTACATTTTATCTGTCTATTTGCTGCATCTGGGCAGTTGGGCTGGTGTTTATGTGCATATTTATCCCTCTCATGTCATTGAGCCACGATGATTCCGGAAATCACTGCGCTCCCGACGGCTCGTTCAGACTGGAATCAACAAATCTTCTGGCACCGAAATGGTTCTTCCAGGTCGTACTTGGTTTTGGATCGCTAAATTTCACGGCGGTCAAGACTGTAGATATTGTTTGGGACGTCGTGAGTGACTTTAACATAACAAATGTACAAGACAGCTGCTGACATTGAAGCAGGTTGTGGGCCGTGCCGGACAGACACTCCTGGCATATATCTCTTGGGAGACCTTCTCAATGTGCCTCTACTGCGTCATGATGACTGACCCCGTAACCTACCAGACTTTCTGGACGGTCTTCATGCAAGACGGCCCGTCTCTTTGGTTTATCCTTCACACCTTCAGGGATTTTACCAGGTTTAGAGGTCTTCGATCCAAGCCGACCATGTTCTTCATGATCCTAACAATGATATTCGTTCTGGTCTTCCCCACACTTGTCAGCGCCATGACTGGTTACTCCGCAAATAACCAAGCCGTGGTCAAAACGGATGATGTTAAGCAAGTGCCGTTCAGTCAGTTTAGAAGCGCCCGGTACGTGATACATGATGGAGACAGGGTTAATTTAAGTGTCAACTATGCTATCAGCTCGGATTATGATGAATTCATGGCTTGTGGCTTCTTTGGCTGTGTAACATCATGTAAGCACCTCGCTTCCTCGGATCAAGCCACATTTCTGACCTCTCTATCTGATCATTAGATATTTCAGAGTATGCTCGTGGAGTATCCAACTATACAATGTCCTCGTGGAATAGAGTAAATCTGGAACCTCCTACACTCAACATAACATCTTACTTAGACGAACAAAGCAGAAAGCCCTTTGTATTTGAAAACGAACTTTATGACTACGATAACTTCACCACCGAAGACAGGACCATCTGCCAACCAGTTATGGAAAACAACCAGCAGACGTACCAATGGGGATTTTCTGTACTCCAACTTGAACTCACTCTCTGCTTGCTCACGCTCTGGACCTTTAGCATATACATCATGTGGGCAACTGCTTACTTGCGTCTTGCAAGCATGGGCATAGCACATAACGCCCCGGGCAACTTCAAAGCAACCATGAGCCTAGCACACGCAATGCGCAAGGAATTCAGAGAGCAGCACGACAAGGATGTCAATTCTCTCACGGAGCGAGAACTAATATCCTATATCAAAACACGCCTCAATGGAGGCCGGGTGATGATGCAGTCACCACCACTCATTCCAAGGCAAAACGAGTGGGAATGGATTTGGAAGTGGGTTATGGAAAACAAGACTTGGACAGTTGCCTATGCTGTCGTTTCTTCGAGTCTGATGTTCTATGCAATAACGTTCTTAGTATGGCTGACGATGACGTTTTCAATGATTGCGGATTGGGGCCAGAAAACCAGGTACTTGGTGCTTCTATTAAGTTTAGTTTCAGGCGGAATCCTACCCGCTGGATACCTTGTGGTCAGACTCTTGCGGGAGCGCTTCAATGGCTTCTTTGGAGCTCATGTCAATGGAACTTCCGGGCAGGTTAATACCATTTCGTCGTATGTAGTATACCGCTAGTTCAACTTTATAGACATTTGGCTTAAGAGATGTCATTTAAACATTGTTGGGCAAGTGAAGCAGGTTGCATCGCCACAGAAATTAGCTTCTAGGATAAAGTCTGCCACATTACCAAAGAGTTGGCTAAATCATTACATTGCAATTTGCGTCATAAAACTCATGGATCGATGACTTATTGAAACAGAGGGCTCTGGATAAAAGAAAATAAAAGGTCTCGCTTGTGGTATTGTATCACTTGGGCTTCACCGTTCAGTGGCCAGGAAATGTGCACCAACTTATGGGTCAGAAAGTATGCTGATCTTTTCACGAGAAACATACAAAAGGCAAAAGCCTCAAGCCTTGCCCATGATCACAGAGTTTCAAATCAGATTTCGTGTTAGCCTGATAAACAAAAAGAGGGAGAGAGTTGCTTCCAATTACATTTGGGCCTTGAAAGCAAAGGGACTGGGGCTGTAGCCGGTATACGCTGTCCCGCTGCGCCGTCACAGTAATGGAGCTGGCATGTTATTTTAATAGATTCTTCGTAGAAGACTAGGCTCGGGAGCCTCATCAGATTAATACGTGAACTCTGAGCAATACCGGTTATATCATACTGAGTGACCAGTATGGAATCGGTCAAGATGACCCTGTGAGCTCTCAAGGTCGATCGGACTCATGATTTCAGGGGTAGAGTAGCATAACTATTAGCAAAGAACATTCCATATGCACTGAAGTAATTCTTCATATCTGTGTATAACAAGCTCTGTGAAAAATCTTCCATATAGCTAACTCCTCTTGCGATCTCATCCCTTCAAGTTTTGCATTATATAGGTAATGATCCTCCAAAATCTTGTCCCCTAACTGTTCCCACCTCCGAACAGTCATCATACCACAGCCAGCAAGCAATAATTGAATGTCAAATCCCACTGCCGAATAATCATTCCAGGCAGCATCCTTCATCCAAGTCCCGTTCTGCCCAGGCCGAATGCGCAACCTTCCGGCCACACGCCCCACCCGTATCTCCCATTACAACCCTGGCACGGTCCTGCACGTCGCTCACCATTCCCGCCAAGCCTCACGAGTGTCCGTCTCGTAGGAGGGAGCCGTACTGGCGGGTTCGTGCATGTTCCCCACCTGCCGCGGTACCCCATCTCGGAAGCGGGACCCTTCCCACAGTTCCAGGCCCAATTCGAGGCTGGCCGTGTTATGGCACAAGTCCGACATGCTCTCACGCAATCGACGGGTGAGAACATTTTGACATGCAGGGGACCCTTGGGGGTCGGGTAACACTTTTGACATGCCTGGAGAAATGCCATGATGGATTGAAAGTAGTCGGACTGCTCCGTTTCCGCACCTTTCGAGTTCATTTTGGGACTCTGGTCTGCCATAGAAACACCCGGTTTCTTCGAGGTCAAGCCATATTGACATTGAGCGTCTCAACATGGCAACAGATACGGTTCCCAGGCAGAAATGGTGGAAGATGCAATGGTATTCCGATGGTCAGTATTTGTCGCGTTCTTCTCCATTTCTCGTCTTGTATCATGTCTCGAAGGCACATCGACTTGCTGTGTTATTTGCTTCAAGGATTATACTGATACTCGAGCTAGATGACACGCCCGAGGAGCGCAAATTCATCATCAAGCTGGATCTGATAGTGGTCCCGTATGCCGTCCTTGCATACTGGGTAAAATACATAGGTTTGACGCCGTACTTCCCATGCTGACTGCGTCGAAAGCTAACCAACTCTAATTTACAGACCAGGCAAACTTGAGTACGCTTCCCCCATGGACCCAGTGCGAGCCCGCCTCTGACTCTTGCAGACAATGCCTACGTTGGAGGAATGAAGGAGGAGCTTGGTTTCAAAGGAAATGAGCTCGTGGAACTCCAGACGATGTACACTGTTGGCGCTGTTGTAGGCATGGTACCCTTCATGTTTATCTTCACTTATGTCCCTATGTACTGGACTATTCCAGCCATGGACGTGCTTTGGGGACTATTCACCCTGCTGCAATATCGCGCACACTCGTTCGGAGAGATGGCTGCCTACCGCTTCTTAGTAGGCTTCTTCGAGGTACATTCTGCCCCAGATAGATTTCGGCCACCGGAATCTCGCTAACTGACCCTATCAGGCCGCTTTCTTCCCGGCAATGCATTATGTATTCGGTTAGCAATATCACCGAATGATTGACTAAGTCGGCAGGATAATTCTGACCGACCTCCCAGGCTCTTGGTATCGAGGACACGAGATAGCCCGAAGAGGCGGCATCTTCTACACGGGCTTGAACCTCGGAACTCTGACGGCCGGTCTCATCGCAGCCGGAGCCTCGCACCGCCTGGAAGGAGTTCAGGGGATGTCTGGCTGGAGATGGATGTACGTAATTTCCTCTGAAGACTTGCCTCTTGTATTCATTGTTCGTGCTCCCGATTGCATTATACTAAACTCGTCTCACATGGCAGGTACATCATCTGCGCCATCATCACTATTCCTATTGGGATCCTCGGCTATTTCTTGTTGCCAGGCACCGTCGAACAGCCAAACCGCTGGATACTCAACGACCATGACATCAAGATCGCCAAAGCCCGACTCGAGCGCGGTGGCCACGTCACCCGGGGGAAGTTCAAGCTCGGCCACCTGAAGCAGATCTTCCTCAGCCCGCAGTTCTGGACCGTTGTCCTCGTGGACGTGCTGTTCTGGAACGCCGGGATTCACAAGAGTACCGGCAGCTTTCTCCTCTGGATCAAGAGCCTGGGGCGATACAGCCCAGCCCAGGTCAACGAGATGGGGACCATCGCACCGGCGTTGGGAATCCTGTACAATCTCGTGGCCTGCTTCCTATCGGACTTGGTCCTGGGCCCGGCTTGGGCGATCACCTTCTCCTCGCTCTGGAACGTCACCGGTCTCATCATGCTCGTTGTATGGGACATTCCCGAAGGCGCAAAGTGGTTCGCGTTCGCAACCATGTACTGGTCGAATGCGCTCTCGAGTGTCTTGCATGGCTGGGTCAACACCATCCTTCGCGACTCCCCTGAGCAGCGGTCCTTCACACTGGTCCTGATCACCATCATCGCCCAGTCGTCGACGGCTTGGACACCCCTGCTCACCTTCCCTACGGTCGAGTCCCCAAACTACCCCAAGGGTTTCTCTTTCTGCCTTGGCTGCGCTGTGTCTCTGATTGTGGCGACCCACATCCTAGACGTTTACATTAAGCGCAAAGAGTAAGACATCCTCGTCCAATAATTGTGAATCAATGGCTGACACGAGCGAATAGGAAAGCAAAACTCGTCCAACTCGGAAGCGACAGCGATCGTGGGGACAGCGTCAGAGCTGCTCCAGGGGTGGCATCCGGCAAGGGGGCGGGTGCGGATGTTGCAATAGTCCACTAAAGCTGGGCAGTTTGATGTCACTCTTCCGGCCAAGGTCGTGGTGAACGAAACAGAAACCAACGCAGTTTTGACTTGCTTTCAACCTCTTCATAGCTCCAAGAAACACAGAGGTAGCAGCCAAATATGTATCTTGGAATTATGCATTTGGAATCGGCCTTTCCTGTCGCTGACGACTGATTTGCTTTTCCCAGCGCTGCTTGGTTTTCAGCACGTCTACAGTCTCCACAAAGCCGACAAGGATGATCCTCTGTCCACTGGTGATTTTGGCGCCGGCATCTAACGAAGGGCAAGTTTCAGCATTCAATCATGTCGATCGTAAGAATTCTCAACCAGGAAAATTTCCCAGTTCCACGTCGGCTTTGAGCAATACTTACGCTCCAGTCCAGCGTCATGCATGAGCAGCCCGCCCTGCTCCACGAGAAAGGTCTCCCCACTTCCCTTGAAGAACGTGCCGCCGCCCTCGAAGGCGTCATGATGATTGAGCAGGAGCGAGAAACTCAAAAGACACCCATCACTGTGAAGTGAAAGCGATGCTTGCTTCGAGGGAATAGGGTATACTGGCACATCTACCTGCTTTCTAGAGCTCGATTCATCTGACCCAGCGTAGCAGACAACGAACAAATCCTTCAGGCCAAGATCCTGGGGTCTGAACCCAGCCGCGCTGGCCATCCGGGTCAAAATCCTTTCCGAAACCCATTCCTGGATCACATCGCCCGCGGTCTTCTTTCCAAGGACAGAAGAGTCGTCGAATTGCCGTGTCAACTCTGACACAGGCACGTCCGTCGTCGCGAACTTCTCGTGCCGGTCGGTCTGTAGACCACCCCGACGCTGGACGTAGTCAGCAACCGAGTTGAGTACCAATTCGCAATCTTGGGCGCTGAATATGTTTCCTAGTATGGTAGGCTGAAGGCGCTGTGCTGATGTAAGGATGTAGGCCACCCGGTTGTGAGCACAGGTCCGTTCCGAGGACGGTGGAAGCTCAGCAAGCTTTGCACGCCGGGCTTGGTCCGCGCTGTCCAGTAGTTGCTGTCTGAAATCGGCCGAGGCAGAGTCTGCGTCATCTTCAAAGAGGTCGAACTCTTCCTCCGAATCCGAGTGATCGGGTGAGGAGGGCGCGCCAGGTGTTGATCCAACCCCAGGCATTTCTTGAGGAAGCATGTGTTTTGTTTTCAATCAAAGGGGGATAGGAGTGGGTGTGGAGGCCGTATGACGGAGTCCGCAGAAATTGACGGATTGGAACGGCGCCGTACGCCCAGCAGCATCGGCGCCCCGATAGCCGCCGCTAAAGCCGGAGCCGTTTACTGATACGTTGACATGCCTACAACAGATGACCCCGGTGAGCAAGCTTCAAGTCCCTACCGGGGGGACTACTAATTTTGAAAAGTTATTACACATAGGACTTTGGCATGATGCAGCCTGATACCAACCTCGTGCTCCTCGTTAAAGGTTTTAAAGCTATTGATATCTAGTATGCTCTAGACCGGACTCCACGAAAGCAGGGGGATTTCTCATCTAGCACCTGGGCAGTTTGATGTCACTCTTCCGGTCAAGGTTGTGATAAACCATATAAAAATCAACGCACTTTTGATTTACTTCCAACCTCTTCATTCATCCAAAGACAGCAGCTAAAAATATATCCCTAGCTAAAACGCTAAAATTTTTAAAATTATAAACATTAAAATTACATTTCATTATATATTTTTTTTAATAATATAAAACTTTATAATTTAATATAATTTAATAATAATAAATTTATTTTAAACTTATTCTTATATTTAAAGTTAATTATAATAATTTATATCTTAAATTAAAGAATTTAAGCATTTAAGCTTGAATTTTGGGAGCCATGAAAAGTTATATGAAGAAGCACCTACATCCACTTGATGCAAATCTTTAGATAATGCTTATTTTTAAAGGCTTGAGATCTCTCAAAGAATGGCAGAGCTCTCCCCTGTTATGGGTTGTGCCCATGAGGTCTTGGTCTGATTATGTAACCCAACATTATGTGTATATAGCCGAAAGCTAAGGCATTGCCTTTGGCTTCCATTCTTTCTCCTTTGTCTTTCATACTCTTAATATACTTAATTATCTATGGCTTAAGCCCCATTATATTACAAAAGACCCTTTTTTTTACTTTAGCTAGTTAAGAAAAATATCGCTTTATTTCTTTCATTTCTTATTTTAAAATGACTAATTTCTTAAATCAACCTTATGCCTAATTACTTAACATTCCTTTACTTTAAGGCGCCCAAGACTTTAATACTTAATAAATTAAAATATATATAAAAATCTTAATAAATACCGCTATAATTAAATCGGAATATATTTAATTATATTATTAAAAACGAGCTACTTAAACAATAGGGGATAGGTTTTGCTAAACCCTTTTAAGAATAACTTAAGGAGGAGCTTTAATGTAATAAAGAGGGAAGATAGGAATAAAAAGGAATTAAAGAAAGGGAAAAAATAAATATTTTAGAAATTCTTAAAAATAAGAAAAGCTTAATTAAAGCATTAAATATATAAGAAAAGAGAAAAGTTAATTTCTTAAAAGAATGTTTAAAATAAGCATAAAAGCTAGCTTTTTATAGTTAGCCGGAATTTAGCGCGGTATTATTTCTTATGTAATTCCCTATACTTATTAATATACCCCTTTTTAAGTACTTTATAATAAGTATTATAAAAATTGCTAAAATAAAACTTTATTATCTTTAATTAAGCCTTTAAGTTTTAAAATTTATCTTGCTATAATTTTAATTATTATTATTATTTTTAATTCCTTATTTACTTATCTTATTATAGCTTTTGCTTTTTTATAAAAGCTTTAAATATTCTTAAGATTTGCTTAATAGCATATTTATTAATTATATTCTTTTAATTATTAAAATTTACTTTAATAATTAGCATTAATATAGCTATTAAAAATTTAAATATTTTTATAAAATAAAAAGTAAATTTATTCTTTCTTTTAATTATTATATTAAGCATAGCATGCTAGCTTTATTAACTTTTGCTTTTGCTTTTTATAATGCTTTTGCTTTTACTTTTAATATTTATGCCCTATATTTAATTGCTTAATTAGCTTACTTATAAGCCTTTTAAATTATTTTTAAGTAAACTTTATTATTATTTTAATTATTTTAAGTTAATTAGCGTACTTTAAATTCTATTTATATTTATTATTAAAATAAGTAAGTAGGAAAGATTCTTATATATATTAAGATAAGCGTTTCTTATTAGCTTTAAAATATTTTATAATGCAATGCTTAGGCTAAAGGCTTATTTAATTAAAATTATACTTAGCTAATTTTAAGCTATTTAAAAGTTTATGCCTTATTATATATTAAATATTTAAAATTAAGTTATTAAATTAATTTTCATTAAAAGTATTATTTCCTTTATACTCTTTTTATAATTAATAGTAATTTTAATATATTGCAATTTAAATAGCTGCTATTAAATAATATCCCTTTATAATAAGAGCTTACTTCTTACTTTAATTACTTTTATATCATTAATCCTAATAAGGGAAATTAATATAAGTATTTAAATAGCTTTATTAATTCCATTAAGCTTTAATTAAATAGCAAATATTTAAGTAATAATGTTAATAGCAGCTTTAAGCATTTTAAAGTATATAATTTTAATTAAAAAAGCCTTAGCTTAATTTCATACCTCTTAATTATTTTTTCCTTAATTTTTCCTAAAGTAGTTTTTAATAAACTTAGCAGCATGCCATTTATAAAACACTTTATTAATTTATTTTAATCCTAATGTAAACTTCTTATTAAAATCTTATATTTTATCTTTTAAGGCAATTATTAAATATTTATAAATAAGCGCTTTAATATTTTTATTTATCTTACTCTTTTCATTTCTTAATATAAAACTATTTTATAATAAGCAGTAATTTTCCATCTTATTAAAAATTGCCATTATTTAATAATTAAATATATAAATAAGCATAATAATAAATTTATAATTTTTTATTAATTTATATTATTAATATTTCTTAAGTAAAGTATGGTTATAATATAAAGATTTTTTAAGTAAGAATATAATATTTTAAAAATTAAAAAGTTATTAAGTTATAAGGGTTATAATATATTAAGTTTTTAGCTCTTTATATTTATAAAGCATCCCTTTTATATTAAAGAAATTAAAAGCAAGAAAGGCTTAATATTATTTTATTAAATTTATTAACTTAATTAATTTTCTTAGCTTAAAATAAAAATTAATGCCTAAGAAATATTCTTATATTATTTTTATAAGCTTATTATTAAATGCTATTTATTCTATATTAAAGAATAATAGCTAATTAAAGATTTAAATTTATTAAATATTATTTAAGCAAACCTTATTTATAATAATTCTTATTTTAAAAAAATCTTTAAAAAAGTTAATACTTACTTTTTAAGTAAAGTTTTATTAATTTTAAACATTTATAATATTTAAAAATTATAATACTTTGCTAAGTAAGTTTTTAAAGTTATTAAAGTAAGGAAGTTTTATAATTATTAATATTAAATTATTCTTTTTTAAATTAATAGGCTTAATTATTAAAATTAAGGCATTAAAGTTTTAAGGTATTTTATAATATAAAGATAATTAAGACTATTTCTTTACTTTGCCTTTTTAATTAAAAGATATTTTAGCTTTTAATTATAAAGAAAGGAAGTAAAGAAAATAAGTAATAAAATAAAGAATAAGTAATAAAAGTTAAGTAATAAAGAGAAAAGATATAATAATAAAAAAAGCTTTATACTTTTAAGGATTATTATATAAATAATTAAAATAAAAAGGATTAAAAATAAAAAAGAAATATAATTAATATTTAGCTATAGCTTAAAGTAGCTTTTATAAATAATTATTATCTATTCCTAAATAAGAATTAAGTAAAGGAAAAGATTAATATATTAAAAGTATATTATTATTAAAATAGCTAAGTAGCAACCAACCTTTAACCTTTAATTAATAATAATATAAAGGTAGAAAGAAAAAGAAAAAAAAGAAAAAAGAAAAGAGCTTAGTTATAAATAAATAAGTATGGCAATATATATAAGCTAAAGTAATAAAAGCTAATAACTTACTGCCCTTAAGTTAAATAATTATATTAATTAAAAGAAAGAAGTAATAAAAAAGCTTATAAGTTATTATTAAAAGCTATTAGTTTATTATTTTGCTAATAATTAAAATAAAAGGATATATAGTTTTTTATTTTTTTTAAATAGCAGCTAATTATAAAATACTTCCTTTTTAATTTATAAGTTTATTAAGCATAAATTAAAATAAGTTACTTAGCTAAAATTCCTTTATAGCAAAAAGATAAATAACTTCTTTATAAGCAAAGAATTAAAGGTAAGTAACTCCTTTTAAGTAATAAATTAACCTTAATTAAAAGCAAAATAATAAATTATTCCTTTTAATAATAAAATAGCTTATTATTAATATTACTTGCCTTCTCTTATTATAACAACTTTATATATATAAATTTCCTTTCCTTTCTTAAATTCCTTCTTTTTCTTTCCTTTTTTTAATATTCTTTTAATTTTAATTAGCCTTTAAGTTAAGCTAAAATTAAAGCAAAATATTATAATCCTCTTATCCTTAAATATTTTTCCATAATAGCATTTTCATTATTAAACCTTCCTTAATTAAGGTTAAAAAGTTTAATATAAGAGGATTTCTCTTTTTTTTTTTAAGCTATTTATTATAACCTATAAGCTAAGTAAATTTTAATTAAGAGCATTTATACCTTCTTTAAGCTAAAAGGCATTCTTAATAAAAATTAATTTATTAAGATTATTCTTTATAATATTTTTATAAAAGGTATTTATATATATAAGATTATTAATATTAAATAAAATTAATACTTTACTTAGCAACTTATTAATCTTATCTTTAAAAAGGTAATTAAGGAATTATTTAATAAATTTCTTAATAAATTATAAAAAAAATAGTTTTTAAATAATATTAAGAATTTAATTAAAAGTTATATAAATATTATTATTATTAAGGAAAGTTATAAAGCTTTTTATAAAAAGTATATAATAATAATATATAATTACTTTAATTATTATTATTAAGTAGCTTTATTTATAGCCTTTTATAGCTATTAAAACGCTTTTTCTTATAAGTATTGC